ATGATATTTTGGGAAGTATGTATTTTGACAATATATAATGCTTATTTTAGGGTCATAACTCCAATGTATCAGCACATCCTCGCTTTAGAGTTTGCCATCATGGAAATCAATAGAGATAGCTCTATTTTACCAAACCATACCTTGGGGTTCCATATCTATAATGCCTACTTTGATCCCAGTTGGACATACCGTGCCTCATTGGAGCTCTTCTTTACAAAGGGCCAATTCATACCTAACTATAGCTGTGATGCTCAAAACAGACCAATAGCAGTCATTGGAGGACCTTCCTCTGACATCTATCTATACATGGCTAATATCCTTTCCCTGTACAAGATGCCACAGGTATGTTGTTTCCTTGGAATTTAGAGGCAGGAGATAAAAATCCATATAATATTTTTTTCTGTAAAAATCTTCAAGGGAAAAAATATTGTGATTGTAATAAAAACTTTACATTTTAGGAAATTTATGCTTCTAGAGACTACAAGTGAATTTTGGTGTGTTTTGGTTACACCACAGCACTTTAATTCGTCAGCTTTTTGATGTTTGAAGGGTCTAGGTTTGGGGATATTTTTCAGCAAAATCAATATTCTCCAAAGTGAGTATAATCAAGTTTCACCCATCCTAGTATTTGGAATAGTTTTTTAGGAGTTAGTATTGATTTTGTTTCAATTTCTCTCTAGCCTGCTAACATTCTCCTTGGAAATAAGCTAAAATTATTTTGAAATATTGCATCAATAGTATTGAAAACAACTGGATAATATTTTTAACCAATTAAGTAATATATTGTAAATTAATATTTATCTTAATGATATTTAAGTTGGAGTGTACAAATTGCATTACTTAAATATTTAAGCGATACAGTTTCTGCTCTCTGAACTAAACCTTGTGTCTTGAGATATGATATTGGAAATCCCAGACATGGAGTTTATTCTGTAAGTTTTTCTATGGTAACCTAACATGATATGATTCATCTCTGAATTGTGAACTGGTGTTCTAATGCAATTCTGAACCACTGACCTATTTTGCTGTTGCAGCTCAGCCTTGGAAGTGATGGCATAGCAATCTCCATGCACAGATGGAGATCTTCTGATTGAACTTGCTTAATTAAGTCATGAGAAATGCTGAACATTCCTGCTCCATTAGCTCATCTTGAATATGAACATGAAACTTACACGGAATCCGGCTTCAGTTTCTAATTTAGCAAACAAAATAGGGAGAGAATCTGATTGCACATCAACATTTTACTTTACAGTCATTTTTCCCCCTTTTATTGTTTATCTCTTTGTTTCTAGATATTGTATGGTTCTGCTCCTGAAATTAGCACAAAAGAACAAACTGCTTTTTACCAACAGATGTTGCCGAATATGGACAGTCAGTACAAGGGAATTTTTCAATTATTGCTATATTTCACGTGGACATGGGTTGGAATGTTGCTAGTAGACAACGAGAGTGGTGAAATGTTTCTGCGCAGGGTGCTTCCCATGGCCACCCAGAGTGGCATCTGCTTTGACTTCGTTGCAAGATTTCCCAAAACTATTCATTCAATTAACCTGAAAAAGATGATTGAAATAGGACTTAACATGTACAGATTTGTTATAAAAAGTAATGCCACTGTGGTGGTAGTTCACGGTGAAAGTGGGAACATGATAACTCTAAGGTTTCTTTCCAGTAAATTGAAAGACAATGATTTACCACTATGGACAAAAGGGAAAGTCTGGATTATGACAATCCAGATGGATTTCACGTCAAATCCTTTTCACCGAAATAAGGATCTGGTTTTCCTTCATGGTGCTTTATCTTTTTCAATTCACTCAGAGAAGGTACTGGGATTCCACCGATTTGTTCAGATGAGACACCCTAACTTGGAAAAAGAAGACACTTTTATCAAGCTCTTCTGGGAAAATGCTTTTGAATGTTCCTTCCACCCCTCTGTAATGAAAAAGGCAAATGGGGCCACTTGTACTGGAAAGGAGAAACTGGAGGTTCTTCCTACATCTGTCTTTGAAATGGAAATGAGTGGCCACAGCTACAGTGTCTACAATGCTATCTACGTGGTGGCATATGCTTTGCATGACTTCTATTCATCTATAATGAAATACAGAGAAGGGAGGCAAATCAAGGGGAAACTTTTGAATCAACATTTATGTAAGGTAAAATACCCCAAAAGACAAATTATGGATGTCTCATTCTATCTTCCTACTAGATTTCAAAAAAATAAAAAAAAAAAAAAAATTCTTCCAATAGTTCATTTCTCCAATTTTGGTGAAACTGAGAAGTTTTGGTAAATATGAAGTTAACTATTTACTTTTTAACAGTCTAAGACCAAGTAAATGTAAAATACAGTATACCAATGATATATCCATATGTAACAAAAATGTTTCTATAAGCTACATAGCGGTAACACTTAGACTCATATACTGTTTCACAGTGCTCAAAACATACTCAAAATTCAATTTCTTTTAGAAGAAAACCATCAGTTTTCTTCTAAAATGAGGGTTTTCATTTCAGTACTAGAAACTTTATTAACATATATTGAGGTCCTCATCATTACAAATTTAACATTTTTAAGCCTTCTGCAACATTCACCCCCTTATATTCTTCTATGTTGTCCTCAATATAAACTTGTTTCTCAATTATTTTTTTCAAAAATCTGCTAGAAATAATTAGTCTGATTTAAATTTCTGAATAGTCAGATCTAGTATTTTATTTTATTTCTTCTGATGCTATGAAGATTCTCTATTCATAGTTACAATCAGTAATGTAATTTATTATTACAGTTATTATTATCTTTCATGTTTTACAAACCTTGAAAGGATTTCTTGTCTATATACTTTAAAGGGGAAAAGGAGTGCTGTTGTACATATATATATATATATATATATATATATATATATATATATATATATATATGCAAAAAATTAAAATCTCGGGTGTTTTCCCGCGTCATTATAAATAAGTTGGTTAAAATATTTAAAATCCTGGTTAAAATCCCACCAGGATTTTAAATATTTTATCCAACTTATTTATAATGACACGGGAAAACACCCGAGATTTTAATTTTTTGCATATGCACACCCGCGAAAACTTAAAACTTAAAACTGTTTGGCTTATTTTTTGATTTAGCTCAACTACATGATCAGAAGAATTTTATTTAATAATAGTGCCGGGCAAAAAATTGGGTTCAATGAAAACGGAGAATTGGAGACTGGATTTGATATTATCAATTGGATCACATTTGAAAATTTGTCTTTTAAGAAAGTCCAAGTTGGAGGCATTGGCCTCAAGGACTCCAATGAAAAAATGATTACCATTCATGAAGACGATATTGTATGGCCAAGAAGGTTTAACCAGGTATGGACCAGTCACATTGTGTTCAGTCCAGATTTCACTACTTCTAAAGACCACTTAGAGCCAAACTATTCCATAGCAATGAAACTCGGAAACAGAATTATATTCTCTCCCTGAAGCCTCTCCAGCTTAGCTGTTTGTTTATCCATGTCAGTAGCATCACAGTTAAAATAAGGCAAAATATTCAAAAACATAAATTGCAGGATTAAAATATGTACAAATTAAACAGGCCCAAGAAACTAGCAACATTGATTGTGTTCCATCATGCTGCCATGAGGTCCTGAAATGTACACTGATCGGGGCACAAAGGGCAAGCATACATACTGTATGTTTTGTTGTCTGAATGTCAACACAATTACAAAGAATAGAAGCAACTGGATATCCCCATTTGTTCAGAGTGTTTCTGGATCTTGTTGCACCCATGCACAATCTATTCAATGGTTTCCATACTTCTCAGTTTTTGTCAGACCCAGGTGCCAGTTCCTCCATTGGTCCCATCCAGTATTACTTCTTTGTAGCATTCCATAAGTCCACTCTTTGAAATTCTTCAAAGTCTTCCGTCCACCTAACTAACCTTTTCCTGGATTTTACTCTCTGCTGAGCTGGTTATCGGCCACAGAGTGGGTCTTGTCTAGATATTATTTGACTTTTTCTCTATATATGCTGCTGTTTAGACATTAGGGGGTCCCTTCGACAACAGCTGGCTAATCCTTTCAATCCAGAAGCATCCTAAACATAGAGAAGTGCTGATTTCCACCTGTGACATTCTGTGTATATAATAATAATAATAATAATAATAATAATAATAATAATAATAATAATAATAATAATAACTACTTTATTATCATTGTACGTGTATACGCAGTATACACATACAACGAAATTCACTTAACACCCAAAAACCAGGTCCAACACACATAACAATCCCCAAACACACTCCCACCCACCACAATTCCCCACCCCTAAACCACCCAAACATCCACACAACAGGCCAAGTAATGCTGTCCAACAGCTCACTGATGGTGGCCCTTTAGTTCATTGTTGAGAGCAATTATAGCTCTGAGATAAAAACTATTCAGAAAATGTTTAGTCCAAGGTTTAATTGTTCTGTATCTTCTGTCAGGAGGCAACAGTTCAACAAGATTGTAAGCAGGATGGCATGAGTCTCTCAGAATGTTATGCAACTTTCTCAAACAGCGAGATTCGAAGATGTCATCCAGGGCTGGTAGCTGCAATCGAATGATATTCTGGGCAGTTTCAGCCTAGCTGATAGACTGAGAAAGTCATTCACTGGTGTTTCCTAGTATACCTTCCAGGGTAGAAGGTGGGTAAATGGAGAGAAATGGAATAGGCCACAAAGAAAGTTCACACCTTGCATGTAAATTCTATGTGAAAATTTTGTCATTCACTAAAAGCCCTACAGATGTTCAAAAGCAAAGAAAGGCAAGCAACATTTGTAAATCTATGCCTCTGTAAAGTGATCTTTTTATTGGCAACAAATTAAGTATTGTGACCTACATGTTTGCACTGAGGCAAAAAGTTGTTCAAATCTTTTCCACCCAAAACCAGACTTTGCTGTCTCACATTATTATATCAAAAGAAAAATATGATGGAAAGACATTTCTGAAAATACTGAAAGAAACTGAGATGCCATGTTTCCAAAGATAAACTTTTTATTATTATTATTTATTTATGGACAGACCCAGCCACTTTCTCTGTGTAATGGGAAGTGTGATTCAGGCTACAGTAAGATTAAGATAGAAGGAAAACTATTTTGCTGCTATGACTGTCTTCGATGTCCAGAAGGGAAGATTTCTAACAGGGAGGGTAAGAGATATTGTATATCTACCTCATCAAATGAATGGGATTGTCAAATGTACCATGGGGAATTTTCTGTTTTCTGCCAACTCTTTCACTTGGCAGATTAGACTAGAAAATAGGGATAAGTAGTTGAATTGCAAACATGTTCATTATTGGTAGCAAGAAGTGAATTTATGCAAATACTAGCTGAATATCTGTGCTTTGCTACAAAACTATGTGATCGGGCTTGATAAATCGACACAGCTTGAAAATTAATGAGTAGTTACGATCGCCATCTTCTCTCCCTTTCTCTCTCTCAACCTTGCCCCACAGAAGCCTCCCATATCCTATCCTCTTCTCTCCTTCATGATTGCTGGACAGAAGCCTCTCCTCTCCTCTTCCCTTCTCTCCCTCAGCCTTGCCCCACAGAAGCCTCCCTATCCTATCCCCTTCTCTCCCTCAGCCTTGCCCCACAGAAGTCTCCCCTATCCTATCCCCTGGTTGCTGCTGTGAAAGTAAAACAGAAATTGAAACTCCTCTCCTCTGCTTGTGTTTTGCATTTGGAACAGATTTCTTTTCATGTGGGGAGGGGGAGTAGAACTCCTTAGCATCAGAGAATGTTAATCCTAATATAGGAAATACTAACTCTCTGATGGTCATTTCAAAAAATCCTTTCTTATTGAACACCTAGAAGCCAAGGGAAACATACGTGCAAATTTCAATTTTGTAGGATTTACGGTTCTGGAGATTTTGTGATTATGGCATGAGTGGTTTTCACTTTTATATATATAGATACCTTGATGGCAACTAACTTCATGTACTACATATATTTTTTCAGAAATTAATTGGCAGTCCTCGCTTTGAACAATTGTACAGTCAGTTTTTATTCTTTCAATGCAACTTCAACATCAATATTTTCTTTCATAGATATGGATGAATGTTTTCAATGTCCAGAAGATCGGTATCCCAATGAGAAGCAGGTTTTGTGTCTCCCCAAAGTTAAAACATTCTTGAACTACAAAGAAACCCTGGGAACAGTTATGGCTAGTTCTTCTCTTTTCTTCTCTTTAATCACAGTTGGAGTCCTTTGGATCTTTATTAAGCATCAGGACACTCCCATTGTCAGAGCTAACAATCGAAACCTCACATATGTACTCCTTGTTACTCTCCTGTTATCATTTCTTTGTACTTTGCTATTCATTGGGAAACCTCACAAGGTGACATGTCTCCTTCGTCAAACTTCCTTTTGCATCATCTTCTCAGTGGCCATTTCTTGTGTTTTGGCCAAAACCGTCATCGTAGTTCTAGCTTTCATGGCTACCAAGCCAGGGTCCAAGATGACCAAATGGTTGGGGAAAAGACTTGGCACATTTCTAGTATCCTGCTGCTCCTTTATTCAAATTAAAATTTGTATTATATGGCTGTTCATCTCTCCCCCATTCCCAGATGCTGACATGAAGTCAATAGCAGAAGAAATCATTTTGGAGTGTAACGAAGGATCTGCCTTCATGTTCTACTGTGTCTTGGGTTATATGGGCTTTCTTGCCATTGTCAGCTTCACACTGGCCTTCCTAGCAAGGAAATTGCCTGATGCTTTCAATGAAGCAAAGTTTATCACCTTCAGCATGTTGGTCTTCTGCAGTGTTTGGTTGTCCTTTGTTCCAGCATACCTGAGTTCAAAGGGAAAATATACGGTTGCTGTGGAAATCTTCTCCATTATAGCTTCCAGTGCTGGATTACTGCTTTGTATCTTTTCTCCCAAATTGTACATCATTGTGCTGAGGCCCGATTTGAACAAAAAAGATCAGCTCAAAAGAGAAAAGAACAGAGTACCATAAATTTAATTGCTGCTTCCTATTTTGCATCAGGTATCAGGAAATATAAAACCAGTTTGGTTTAGCACCAGGGTAGAAACTAGGAGATTGTGAGTTCTACTCCTGTCTCAAACATGTGTTAATGTGGGGAAAAATAGAAGGAGGGAGACGTATTAGATATTTTTGATGCCTTGAATTATTTATAAAAAATAATAATGGCAGGAGAAAGAAACATCTTTTTTAAAAAAATTCCCTATACTGAACCCTTTAAATGATATATGGATCCTAAATCCAGAACAACTAAATTTCTAAGATACTAGGCTAAAAACCAGGAAGACTGAGGCCTTAGGCATATATATATGGAGATATATATGGATAGGAGGGAGGGAGGGACGGAGGGAGAGAGAGAGAGAGCAGAGAGAGAGAGAGAGAGAGAGAATAAAGGGGTATATGGATTTTTATCGATAATATATATATATATATATATATATATATATATATATATATATATATATATATATATATATATATATAATTTTCTGAGGTTTTCGCAGGTGTTTGTATGTAGGTCTTTGGTTATTCAGGTTTTCTCCCACATAAAATTGGAAGTGTCTTGGCGACGTTTCGACGAAGAAGCACGAAGCTGAAAATGCCAGCCTGAAGATGACGAATGAGACTTCGTCGAAACGTCACCAAGACACTTCCAATTTTATGTGGGAGAAAACCCGAATAACCAAAGACCTACATGTATACATACATACATACATACATACATACATAGATATAGATATTTAGAGTAGCATTAACCACCTGGGTAAATCTTTAAAAAAAAACCACATTTCATTTAAAAATAAAATGCTCTGTTCTAAACTCCAGTTTTCACACAGTAGAGGGGAAATGGTCCTCATACTTGGGGGGCAAGTTGTTCCACAGGAGTGCCTCATGATAGAGAAGGCTGTCTTCCACAGCCCCAATAGATGGAATTCCTTTGGAAACAGGAACTTCAACAGAACGTCTCCCTCAAACCCTACAAAATGAGGACATGCAAGCTTGGAAATAACCAGGCTTTCAGTCATGGGTGGTTTATGTTATATACAATATAAGGAAGTAAGGAAGTGTGCTGCAGGCTTCACTCAGGTCCGCCAAATAGGTGGGAAAATATTTGTATCTCATTAGCTAAGCCGTCTGGCAGCTCTCTATAAAAGAGGACACTGCCAGACAAGCAGGTTGTTGGGTTGTACTGGTCTACTATTAAAGAGCTGTTGTTACTGAAGAACTGTGTCCGTCTCTTCTATCACCAAATCCAACAGTTCAATTTTAGTTTTAGCTATGGTTACTCTGAAACGATTTTACAAAGCACTCTATTCTTGGTTGCAACAAATGATTTTTGTTTTTGTTCTGTTTAATTTGGGTTGTTTTTAAATTATGTCCAAAAATATTTAATCATTTTAAACTGTTTTTAAATTTTGTATGTTCTGTTTTTTTTACTCTGGCTGTTCACCGCCCTGAGTCCTATTGGAGAAGGGCGGTATAGAAATGGAAACAAATAAATAAAATAAATAAATAAATAAATAATGCACAAACCCAGAAGCCATGCATATTCATACAACCTCAAGTTGTTCAAACTTGTGACAGACTGATATTGATTGTCTAGAATAGGGGTCAGCAATCTGCAGCTCTGGAGCCACATGTGGCTCTTTCACCCTTCTGCTGCGGCTCCCTGTCACTCAAAATATGCGTCACAACCACCAGTGTGCGATACCCGCCAGCACACGATTTATTGAGCTTTTCAATAACCATGGATATAATCCAAGAAAAGAAAATTTCAGAAGAAAACAGAACATTTAATTCAACTACATATGCTAGTTTTGTGGCCACTCAAGGAATAGTCAGGCACGGGGAAGGGTTTTGTGGCTCCCGGTGTTTTCTTTTCTGTGGGAAACGGGCCAAATGGCTCTTTGAGTGTTTAAGGTTTCAGATCCCTAGTCTAGAAGAACGCCATTTCTCAGAATTGTATGTGAAGCACCAAGAACAATATGGTAAAAATATTCTTTATTGCCTATTAGTAATTCAGGAAAATTAAAAACCTTTCTCAAATTGCAACAAAAAACTTTTTTTCTTGCGTAAATAATTAAAGGCTTCTATCTTACTTTCCTACTTCACTAAAAAACACCATTGTTGATATGTGCTTAGAACTAAAAAAACAATATATTTTTGTCTTCAGCATTTCCTTGAACCTCTGATTCAAAGTGGATAATGTCTTCCCTATAATTAACTGCTTAATTACGTTTATTTCAATTTCATCTCCTAACTCAACAACTTTAACCACCAGCACACCTGCAAATAATCTTTCGCTTTTCTGACTATTTCGCAAAGAGAATGAAGTAATCTTTCTATCCAGAAATAACAAGCATTTTTTTAAAAAAAAGAATTTAATTTCACCTGTAATCATCTATTTAGCGAAGGCAGCTTGTGAGTCATCAATTCTCAAAGGATTTGCAATAAGTACATGCACACAACTCTCCCTTCACCAAAAGCAAAATAACAAGAACTGGAAAAAAATACAGAGTTGTTACAATCACCCCAGAATGGTAATATCCAACCACTGATTCTATTCAGTAAAAAAAAAGCACTCTGGTTCCTTATTCCAAACGGTCCAATTTAAGGAAAGGCAATGCTAAAACAGGCAAAATGACTTAAATAAGGAACAACTTCATTCAGTATGTTGGTCTTTGAAGCACTGGTCTTGGTCCTTTTTCCCAAAGTTGTGGGTAAGATTTCCAGTGCTAAATGCAGTGTCAGTAAACCCCTACCTCTACTTCACAAACAATACCAACCAGGGGACTTCATTGTTGTAGGCATTCTGTCTAAGATCTACATATTGTATGACATGATGGACTTCAGGAAAGCACCATCTAGTGATCTCTTTGATGAAATTCTGTAAGTTTTTAAAATCCACTTTACAATGTTTTAGCAGGTAAGGCTCATAGGTCTATTTGACTGATCTTGGAAATCCTGGTTAATATTGGGTGTGGTTTACTTGGAAACTCCAAGACAGATAACCAAGCAGAAAAGGGTGCTTTTGTGGTTATAAAAAGGGCTCCGGAAAAAGCAGTGGTGATTTTTTTAAGAATATATAATGTTGGGGGGAAAAATTAATCAACCAACAACTGCATAGATGCAGTCAGCTGAAATTAAGCTCAACTCATGTTCATGTACAGTATTTACACACAATATTTTGTTGTATAATAAGACTTAGAGAATTTTGGCTGGCGTTAATTTTAATCCACTGAAAATGTGGTTACAATGATAATGTACCTTCTTTTGATATAATGAAGAGCTGAAGAATCTTTTAACAATTCATAAAGGAGAATGATTACATTTCCTACGATTGGTAATAAACCATTCCTGTTTTCCAGTTATAATATATTTTCATAGTCATGTCTCCTGAACGAATCCTTTGTAATATATTATACTGAAATATAATTCATCTCACGTTTGCAGTGAATGCGCTGTGAAAGATTATCTGATTCCCTTTTCAGTGTCATGACTCCCATCTATCAGCATTTCCTGGCTTTGGAATTTACAATCAAGGAAATCAATGAAGATCCTCAGATTTTACCCAACCTCACCTTGGGATTTCACATCTATAATAGTTATTTTAGTGCAAGTTGGACCTATCATGCATCACTGGAACTGTTTTCTGCACAAGATGAATTCATTCCTAATTATAATTGTGACATCCAGAACAGAAAAATAGCAGTTATTGGAGGTCCAACCTTTGAAGTCTGCCTACACACAGCTACTATCCTGTCCCTTTATAAAGTACCACAGGTACAGTGCTTATATTTGCAAATCAATCATTCACTATGTTTTTAATTTACATGGATTTGAAATTTGTTGCTTGTTGCAAAGTTGTGTCTGACCCATCGCGACCCCATGAACAATGTTCCTCCAGGCCCTCCTGTCCTCTACCATCTCCCGGAGTCCATTTAAGTCCACCAACTGCTTCAGTGACTCCATCCAGCCACCTCATTCTCTGTTGTCCTTTTTTTCTTTTGCCCTCAATCTTTCACAGCATTAGGCTCTTCTCCAGTGAGTTCTTCCTTCTCATTAGGTGGCCAAAGTATCTGATTTTCATCTTCAGATCTGGCCTTCTAAAGAGCAGTCAGGGTTGATCTTCTCTAGGACTGACCGGTTTGATCGCCTTGCAGTCCATGGGACTCGCAGGAGTCTTCTCCAGCACCATAGTTCAAAGGCGTCAATTCTTTTCCTATCTTATGGTCCAACTTTCACAGCTATACATTGCAACTGGGAAAAACCATAGCCTTAACTATATGCACTTTTGTTGGCAGGGTGATGTCTCTGCTTTTTAGTATGCTGTCTAGATTTGCCATAGCTTTCCTCCCCAGGAGCAGGTGTCTTTTAATTTCTAGGCTGTAGTCCCCATCTGTGGTGACCTTGGAGCCCAGGAAAATAAAATCTGTCACTACCTTCATTTTTTCTCCATCTATTTGCCAGGAATTGAGAGGGCTGGATGCCATGATCTTAGTTTTCTTGGATTTGAAATAAATACCACAATAAGTAAGCAATTGTGTATGTGAATTGTGTGTGTGTGTGCATATATATCAGACCAGTGGTGGGTTCCAACTGGTGTTACCACCGGTTCTCTTTGCACACACACTTTCGTGTGATCATCGTGTGCATGCTGGCTTCGCTTGCACGCACGCCGAACTTGCACTCCGCGCAACTGCATTAGATTTCTGCCCAGCTGAGGCGCAGCAATCCACTCTGCCGCACCTATCAGCTGGGTTAAAAAATGACAAATAAAGGTAGGTATAATGCGCAGGCAGGCGGGAGAGCCCAGCTCACAGTCATAGAGAACCGGTTCACATCATCACCACTACCGGTTCGCCCGAACTGGGCCAAACCACGAGCAATCTACCACTTTATCAGACATATAGAAAGTCAGCAGATGGCAAATCTTTTTATCAATGAATATACCCATGTCAGCAGATGTTGAC